GTCCTTTCTTCCCTCTTTTATTCCTAGGTTCCTCTCAAGAACCTTCCCTTTAAAAGTCTAGCTTCCCTTCAGAGATTGGGCCACTCTGAGGCAAGCAAGATCTTTCTACAGGATTTGTTTCAGTATTTCTGTTTCACACCCTTCAGTGGTCTCATGTTTTTTATGGTAAAAGCCACATACATCATACAAGGCACTTGGTAGCCAGGCTCCATTTACCCAGCTCCCACCATGGCCCAGCAACCTTATTTAAGAACTTGATTGAGGGTCAAGACAAGCTGGAGTGCTAACTTGAATCTATACTTGCATTTAACTGGCAAAATTTACTTTGGCGTTGCTTCTGGGAAAGGAACCAGCACCCATAAAAGTCAATAAAACTATCCCACTAGTCCCCCAAAACATATTCATTTAGTATTTCAGCAAAACAAACCTAGAATGACTGTTGAAAACTGACATTAAGCTGGATTTTAAAACCAAATAACCTGTGGCATGGTGGTGTTCATCAGTGGCCAGTAATATGTTTCATTATCAAATTGTTCATTTTTTAATGCAGCTGCCAAAAAGTTCCCTAGTTGAAAATGCATGCACACTGAAGAATGAGAAGAAAACTAGGAATATTTTGTTGAATAGCTCTACACTCGCCCCTGCTTTGACCCAGCTGAGGCGAATTACTAACTGAATGCATTTTGCATATAATTTTTCTTAATAGAAAAGTCAATTTCCCCCTGGCCCACAGAAATAAATATTGAGCAAGTCATTTTTTTAAATGTCCATTCCAAGGGGTGGCAGAATATTAGCATGCCTCCAGGGCCCTGTCTCCAGTGTGCTTGTGCCAGCCTCCACAGACAGCAGCTCTACCTCCTTCCTCCCTACTTATTTTAAATAACACTCATGTTATTTAAAATAAAGAGACTCCACATGGCTGTAGCTAAGGTGCTCCCTCTTGCTCTTGCTCTGCTTTTCACCCACCTCCCTGCCCCCCCATCTCTTTCTGATTACCTATCTTTACACATCTTAGTTCCCACAGCAGGTAATTCTGCCCCTTTTTGTTAAGTTGTATATCTAGGCACCTACAGCACTTAGAACACAGAAGGTCCCCAACAAACATTAGATAAATGAATAAATAAGCTACAAATAAAGAGTACTAGACTTCTGTCTCCTTCTGGAACTTAACCCTGCCACTTGTAGCCATGGCATCTGGTTACCATATTGTGCTTGAGTCTTTGACTATGAGCTAAGGCAGACCCACCTGCTGCCCCACACTCAGGCACAAGGCTGCAATTAACACTAAGGCTTTAGAGAGCACAAGTTCATGACCTCCTTATGATGTTGATTATGGCTAAACCTCCCACATTTTCCCCTAGTTTACAGAGAGCCCTGCAGACACCAGGAAACAGTGCAGTTAATGAGACTCATGCTCCTTACTCAGAAGGAGCCACAGCTGATATGGCATTATTCAACATTTAAAAAAAAAGTGGATTGGGTTTGGAGCTGGCTGGTAGGATCTCTCTACAGGTGTAGCATATGCTCATCCTGTGCCGGGTACTGTTGTCCCCAAACACTGTTTAAAACACAGAAATCCCACAAGAAAGTAGATGCAGCTATGATAGCCCATTCCACAAATGAGAAATCTCAGGTCAGGGATATTAAATAGGTGGCCCACTTAAGGACCGACATAAGTACAATCAGAGATGAGTCTGATTTCAGCATACAGAAGCCCTTGAAGCAGCTGGTGTCTTTTCGTCCAGTGATTGAATTTAGAAGAAGTGCAAGCTCATTTTGAAACCAAAACAAGTTATTAGAAAACAAGCAATCTTTCTATTTGTGATATTTTAATTCTTTATGTTGGGTTCTTTTCTACCAGCTGTTGTACAATCTACTTTTCTGTAAAAAAAGTCTTTAAATGAAAGTTTGTCTCATCCTACTCATGTCTAAAATTAACCAAGATTGATTAGGAAGCACTCAAGGAAACATCTAAGGAAATGACTTTAAATGTATTCTGTAAAATATTTGAAACACCACCTTGGGAAGGAATCCACAAAAAGCATAAATTATTGCCATTCATAATTGTTTCATTTTTTAAAATCTCTAATGATGTGGCTATATCTAAATAAATCAAGAACTAAGGACACTTTCCTGGAGGAAGAGGTTACCTTGTTAAAGACAAAATGAACAGAATATGTCGAAAATTATCAGAAAAAGAGTTAAATGGTGGTAAGCAAAGAAAGATGGTGACCCACACACACACAACACACACACACACACACACACACACACACACACACACACACACACCACTCTGCAATGTGGGCTGTGTACCCCATCTAGGAAATCTTGGAGAAGAACACAGGGGTGGGGCCCTGGCTGCCAAGTCTGACATGAGTGCCATCCTAGAATCCACATGGTGGAAGGAGAGAGCAGATTCTCCCATGCCATCCTCAGACATGTAGTGGTGCGCATGCCACATACAACACACAATAAATTAATGTAAAAAATACAATGTACCAGGCTTTTTCTTTTGGGCCACCAACCAGCTCCCAAATCATGAGATGGAGACTTCTTATCAGGTATGAATGCTCAGCCTAGCTTACGCTCATTTCTGGTTAGCTCTTTTAAGTTAACCTGTTTCTCTTTATCCACCTTTTGTCTTGGGGCTTTTACTTTTCTGCCCTTCTGTGTATCTTACTTTCACTGATTCTCACATTTGGCCTGCTGGTGGCTGCCTGGCTGCCCTGGGAATGTCCCCCTCTTTCTCCTTCCCTTTTTCTTTCCCTCTCATTCTTTTTAAGCCTAGATTTCTCCTACTTATTCATTCTGCTCAGCAGCCCCGCCTATCCTTTTTCTGCCTAGCTATTGGCTGTTCAGCTCTTTATTAAATTTGTCAAGTGCCTAAGGCAAGCAAGGTGAAACAAATGCAACATTTTACATAATGAAACACACATCTTTACATCATTAAACAAATGCAGCATAAACAAATCTAACACACCTTTACACAGTTAAAGTAATATTCCATGGCATAAACAAATGTAACACATCTTTACATAGGTAACATACTATTCTACAACATTTCCTCCCTTTGTCCAAATAAAAATAAATGTTTTCATTTTAATATAGTAAAACTATATACAACAAGAGCAGTTATCAAGTAAGAATTACATTTACAACATCCAGTCTATTTGTATTTGGCAAATTCAAAGAAAATACTCCATTATTAATCCTACCTTGGTGAGTCCAAAGTTTTATACCTAATTTACCTTCTATTATAACTAAAGAAAACTATAACTACCTAGTCTTTAACTCCATCAAAGACCTCAGAAGGATATAATACTATCTGAGTAAACAGAAAGTGCCGTGCAAACCACTTCCAAAATTCAGATATCTGGCTATCTGGACAGTCACCTGTGGTGATATATTGTGTACCCTAATAAAATTTGCCTGAAGATCAGAGAACAGAAAAAGTCACTAGATTAAACATAGAGGCCAGGCAGTGGTGGTACACACCTTTAATCCTAGCACTTGAGAGGTAGAGATCCATCTGAGTTGAAAGTCACCCTGGAGGCCCCCAACTGGATCAGGCCCTCTGAATAGATGAGACAGTCGATTGGCTTGATCTGTTTGGGAGGCATCTAGGCAGTGGTACCAGGTCCTGGGCTCGTTGCATGAGTTAGCTGTTTGAAACCTGGGACTTATGTAGGGACGCTTGGCTCAATCTGGGAGGAGGGGACTGGACCTGCCTGGACTGAGTCTACCAGGTCGATCCCCGTCCTCGGGGGAGGCCTTGCCCTGGAGGAGGAGGTGGGAATGGGGGGTGTGCTGGGGGGAAGGGGAGGGGGGCAGGAAGGGAGAGAACAAGGGAATCTGTGGCTATTATGTAGAACTGAATAGTATTTAAAAATAAATAAAAAAGAAAGAAAGAAAGAAAGAAAGTCACCCTGGACTACATAAGATTAACTCAATCTAGGACAGAAAATAGAGCCAGGCAGTGGTGGTACACACCTTTAATGCCAGTAGTGGGAAGCACACACGCCTTTAATCCTAGGAAGTGATGGATGGGCAGAGCAGAGAAAGGTATATAAGGCATAAAGAGACAGGAACTAGAGGCTTTTTAGGCTGAGAAGTCCTAGAGGTAAGAGGTGGCTTGTTCCTTTGTCTCTCTGATCTTCAGGCAAATTTTATTAGGGTGCACAATATATCACCATAGTCACTCAAGGTTTCTCTGCAATGTTGGTGCATCCATCTTCAGCCTACAGCCTAGAATATCAGGCAAACTCTTCTATGAAGCAGAAATTTTGAAAGACTTTCCTGCCTAGTCTTGGCAAAGTTCAGCAGTCACGTTCCTGTATATCCTGCAGAGTGTCTGGTAGATCTTTCTGTGAAGCAGAAATTTTGAAGGACTATCCCACCTTATCTTGGCAAAGTTCAATGGTCTTTTTCCTTTGTGTCCTGCTTATCCAGTTTATACAACACACTGTTAGCAGTTAAGACAAGGACAATTTCTTGCCCAAATGACTAACTTTGCCACAATGAAGGCAAAGTCCATATGGAGTTTCTTCAATGCCCATCATCTTCTCTGAAGTAAACTGATGTTGTCAGGAGCAGACATGTCTCACTCTCATGAAAACCTTAGGTTATTAAACATCTTAAATACCATATTCTGTTGGTCTTTGAAGTGTTTGAAGATGATCTATCTAATCTGTCTAAATATATATGTTTAACCTTGAAAACATATCTAATATGACTATAAGTTTATTATAGATGACTAACTACTAACCTGTATTATATGTTACATTTTAAAATGAAATGCATATGTATAATACCTTAAACAAGTGTAGAAATATATATACAGTTTAACAAAAATGACTTTAAATTTGTGTCAATATACCAATGTCCATACCAATGCAAAATATTTTAGTTTAATAGTTGTCTTTTTAGCCTATATTCCTATATTCCCCCTAAATGATGATAAACATTCAAAACCCACTGAATAATCAAAAATCACCCACCTCTTGGGAATGTGAGTGTTGTGTTGTCTAGATTGCTTCTTGTTGTCTGTGGGCAAAGGTATCTTTTTAGTGAACCCAAGAATATTGGAATAATGGTCAATTCCTTAGAAAACTTGCTATAACATTTGCTGTCCAGTCTCTGTGCAATACAAAAGCACAAGGCTTTGCAGTCATGGCTACAATAGTCTGTGAGGCTGGGCCATCTCAGCCAGCATCCTTGAAGCTGTCCTAGATGCAGAATTCTGAGAGGCTGGATCACCTGGGCCATCTGTTTTCATTGGTGTCTGGTTTCCTTTCTATGAAAACACACAAACGTTCAAAGGTAACATACATATCTGTATTATCACAAGTATGGGCTGTGAGTTGTACACAAGCCAGCCAAAAATGATGGGTTTTTTTTTTTTTGTGTGTGTGTGTGTGTGTGTGTGTGTGTGTGTGTATGTGTGTGTTATGTTTTAGCAGGTAAAATATACATCAGCTGTATTGTACTTTTTCTAGGTTTATTTCTTTATATCTGTAGCCTGGATTTTCAGAGAATCTTCCCCAATCAAACCTGATCTTTATCAACCTTGAATGAACCCATAGCCTTTTGTTTCCTGTGGAAACAAAAGCATTACTTCTTCCCCAAAACAATAAATTTTTTGAATTCCATTTTAAAGTTAAAGCATTCCTAAAGCATCTAGGCTGATTTAATTTAGCAGTCCCTGTTACAATTCCATGTTGATTGGCAACTGCCATTTTCTCATCAGCATTCAAAACATCCAAAGACAGCACAACACTATACAGGATCCAGTGTAGGCAGAAGTTTCTCTCTGACCTACCTGTTCCCAAATAATTGACTCAGAGGTTTAATATTACTTGTAAATGCTCAGTTGGTAGCTCAGGCTTATTGCTAACTAGCTCTTACATTTAAATTAATCCACAATTCTTATCTATGTTTGGCCACATGGCTTGGTAACTTTTCTCAAAATGACATTCTCATCTTGCTTCCTTGACTCCACCTTCCTTCATCTGAGCATTCATAGTTTGTTTGCCCTACCTATACCCCCTGCCTGGCTACTGGCCAATCAGCATTTTATTAAACTAACTCAAGTGACAAATATTACAGTGTACAAGAGGATCATTCCATAGCAATCTAGGATTGCTGTGTATTTCCTATGTCTATGTAGCTTGTTCTTTATTATTATTTATAAACTGTATACTTGTTTCTATGATTGTCTATATCTATTTTCTTTTCTTTCTTAAGCGTATGCACATTTTAAAACACGATGTAACCTGCTTAGAGGTTTTGTCCAATGGAACCTACTTTTATACATATCTCTAGCCTTTTCTGTCTGCATGGGTAAAATATAAAACTACTAAGCTACTGCTGGGTTTTCTGCTGCAGCTTTGGGGTTTGTGAGAGCCCAGCCTTAAGCTTGCAGACCTGTCCAGAGGTGTGTGGCTGGGAACTGCATTCAACCCCTCAGTTCTGGAATACCTGTGACGTGCTGCAGCAGGCATTTTTACTTAGCTTGCTGTTTCTGCATGAAAAAGGCTCTTTAAATGCTCTGCTGTAAGGTAGAGACTCTTAAAGAAGCCGTATCTTTTTAAGCTTTCTCAGACCCTATGTGGAAATTTGGGCCCCAAGTTGGGTGCCAAATGTACCAGGGTTTTACTTTTGGGCCCCCAACCAGCTCCTAAATCATGACATGGAGATTTCTTATTAGTTATGAATGCTTAGCTCATTTCTGGCTAGTTTTTTTTTTTTAACTTAAGTTAACCTGTTTCTCTTTATCTGCCTTTTGCCTTGGGCTTTTTGCTTCCTTTCTATCTTTCTTTCTTTCTTTCTTTCTTCCTTTCTTTCCCTTTTTCTTTCCCTCTTTGTTTCACTGATTCTCATGTCTGGCCTGCTAGTGGCTGCCTGTCTTCTTGCCTTGGGTATGCCCTCCTTTTTCTCCTTGTTCTCTTCCTCTTCTCTCTCTCCCATTCTTTTTGAGTCTAGATTTCTCCTCCTACTTATTCTCTCTGCCTGCCAGCCATGCCTATTCTCTGTCTACCTAGCTATTATTGGCCATTCAGGTCTTCATTAGATGAATCAGGTGCCTTAGGCAGGCAAGGTGAAATAAATGCAACACATCTTTACATAATGAAACACACATCCTTAATAGTTAAACAAATGCAGCATAAACAAATGTAACGTTCCTTTACACAAAGTAATATTCCAAGGCATAAACAAATGTAACACATCTTTACATAGTTAAAATATTCTACAACTATACAATGTTCACAAATTAGAAAGGAAACAAAAACAGTTGTTAAATAGCATATAGAACAAAAGATAGATAACTGTATATGAACTTATTAGGTTTCCAACATTTACTATGAGTCATGAAAAGTTGAAAAAAATCTTTGCTCTGGTGCTGAAGAGTCTAAAAGTGAAAGTTAAAATGGTTCAAAAGAAGGAACAGTGTACACTTATGAGATCAGATGAAGCCGTCAGGACTTGCTGTCTACTTGCAAGTGCTGGAATTCAGTGAATTTCACTAGAGCAAAGCCATAACCGGGCAAAGCTTCTGGAATAAGATAAATGCAGCTGTTAAATGTAGGCTTCACCAGACTGAGATTAGCAACATAGTCTGCAGAGACCTGGGAAGTCAGTGCTGTGGAGAGGAAGGAGGCTGTGGGGCTTAACTGACATATCGACACACTCATGGGAAAGGCAAGTCTCATACCTGCATCTGCCCAGTGGACTGAGTCAGTTTCTTGTGCCATTATATAGACACAACCCCACAGAAAACTAATCACCTACTGTGTGCTAGTCAGTGATGCAAATCAGCCTAATCTACACAGCAAGTTCTAAGCCAGCAAGGGCTACACAGTGAGACCTTGTCTGAACAAAATTTAATTTTGAAAAGTCAAAAGGTGATACAAGGAGATGGGGTAGCAATTATTTGTCTTGGGGGGACGCTGTTTCCTCCTGAGCAGGTCAGCACACACAGCAATGACACTCAGAAACCTGTGAGCTGTAGTCAGAAGCCTGGACTCTCAGATGCAAAAGTTACATTCAGTGTTTTCAATGAATAAATAAACAGAAAAGCATAAATTGAATATTTCCTAAAAGAAAATTCTAACCATGGATATCCACAAAGGTTTCCTACTAAGAGCTGATCTTCCTTTACCCAGCCGAGCTGCATTAGAAGATTGCTTGACCATTTGCATGGTTTCTGGGTGATTGGAAGGGTCTACACTTGGCTTAGCTAGGGGCAGGTCTTTTGCTCCACCCCTTGGCATTTCTATAAATAGCCCTTTAGACGAGACAGAAGGGGCTGGTGGATAAGGATCCAGGCCCTCTAGAAGCTATCCTATGTTTCTGTTTCTCCCCCCTCTATCTTTCTATCTAATATCTCTTATCCCTCTTGCCTCAAGAGTACCTTGTTGTAAAATGTGGGAGCCAGTATCCCAGCTGGGCTCCCACATCTAATTCTTTTACAAACATCTTAAAACAGACTGTATCAAATGTAGAAGTCATATTTGAACTTGATCTCCTGCTCAACAAATAGGCATGTCAGAAAAGGAAAAACCCCAATCACTGCCAATAGATGCAATTTTCCTGGTAGAAAAAAATCTGTCTCTCCAAAACTGAGGGGTTTAATGTGCATTGCCATGATAAAGTAGTTATTCCCCATCTATCATGGGACCAAGCAGAGAAGTTCTGAAGATAAGCCTCACCCTTCGAAACTCAGGCAGCATCATCTAAAATTTAGATTGCACTGATTACAGCTGATGACGATGACCTAAAGAAAAGAAAAAGTAGCCAGTCAAATGCATGCCCTTTGCCACCTTCTAGAGCCTTCCTCATCCTCACAACCCTTTATCCCTTCACCCTTCCCTCCACAGCAGCTGAGACTGGGACCTTATCAAGGCTGCTTGCTTCAATTTCAAGAGCTTCTTTAGAGAATCAGAACTGCTAAGGACACTGTTGTATTATTTGGAATTCTGACATACAGTCTTCATAACGCAGGCTGAGAGACTTGGGCTTACAGAGACCAAAGGTCATGCCTGTAGCCACCTTTCCACTATCATATGCTCAGTGGCCAACTGCTAACAGTCTGAGAAGCCAGGCATGATGTCTCACACCTGTAGTCACAACTTTCAAAAAGATGAGAAACAAGGATCTCCATGAATATATATATTCATATATATATATATATGTATATATATATATATATATATATATATATATATATATATATATATATATATATATATATATATATATATATACACACACACATACACACACACACACACACACACGTATAGTTTTTTGGTTTATCAAGATAAGGTTTTCCTGTGTAACCCTGGCTATCCTGAAACTTGCTCTGTAGCCCAGGCAGGACTGCCTCTGCCTCCTGAGTGCTGGGATTAGAGTTGTGTGCCACCATGCCCAACTTCAATCTATATTTTTAAATGACAGCTCAATATTTCTAAGGCAGTAACTAAACACGTACATACATGTACATATATATGCTATATATATTATATAGAACACATGTCGTGTGACATACACACACACACACACACACACACACACACACACACACACACGAGTTAGCTCCCTCTGTTCCCATAAGTTCCACATCCATGAGTTCAACTAAGCAATGATAGAAAATATATTTTGAGGAGCATCTGTACTAAGTAAGCACAGATATTTTCTTGTCATTGTTCCCTCAAACAATGCAGTTTGATAGCTATTCACGCTGTGCTGACATTGTATTCAGGATTATGAATAAACCGAAGGTGATGGACAGCACACAGAGGTTGTGTATGGGTTGCACTTAGATACTGTCTTGCTCTGTATAAGGGAAGGGAGCATCTTCATGGTAGGGAGAGGAATCTTGGTACCCATTCTCCACAGGGAGCAATGATGGAACAAATTTTCAAAAACCTCACTGTTTACAAATCTCTTGCACTTTCAGTATCACAATGACAGTACGGAGACAAACTCTCACCACGTTCAAAACACTTATCTATCAAAATTGTTAAGCTCTGGCTAACTTGGAAATAACACAGTGGGTAGAGTAGAGGACAGGCATCAACCTAAGTTTTGGGATTCTTCACCTAGGATCTTTCCCTGAAAATGGAAGCAGGGTGTGGTGGTATTGTGTTCCCCAAAATACTGTGTACTCTAATAAATTTATCTGGGGTCAGAGAACAGAACAGCCAGGAGATACAGAGGCTAAAAAATGGTGGAACTCACACCTTTAATCCTAGCATTCCAGAGGCAGAGATCCATCTGGATCTGTGAGTTCAAGGCCACATTGGAAATAGCCAAGCATGGTGACACATGCCTTTAATCCCAGAAAGCCAGCCTTTAATCCCAGGGAGTGGTGGTAGAAAGCAGAAAGATATATAAGGCGTGAGGACCAGAAACTAGAAGCATTTGGCTGGTTAAGCATTTGGCCTGGTTAAGCTTCAGGCTTTTGAGCAG